GCCGGCACCGGGTACTCACAGGTGATGGCCAGCTTGTAGAGCTCCCGGAACTTCTGGTTGTAGCCCTCCCCCGGGACGTAGTCGCCCAGGCCGATGGTGCTCAGGGAGATGAAGCAGAAGTAAAAGGACTCCAGGAAGTTCCAGTCGTCCTCCAGCACCGAGAACACGGCGGCCGGGATGAAGAAGAAGCAGGACACGGTGACCGCGCCCAGCAGCACGGCGTGGACCAGGGCCACCAGCTGCTTGGAGAAGCCCCAGCGCAGGTGCACGTAGAGCACCGGCCGGCGGGTCACGTGGATGGTGACGCGCTGGACCACGGCCGTCAGGAAGAGCAGGGTGAAGGGGATGCCGATGATGGAGTAGATGATGCAGAAGGCCTTGCCCCCGTCCGACAAGGGCACCGTGTGGCCATAGCCTGCGGGAGACGGGCGGGGGGAGGAGAATTAACACAGTTAATTACATATGTATTTAAAATGTTTTTATTGATTTCAGAGAGAGACAGAAACATCCAGGAGGAGAGAGAATCACGGATCGACTGCCTCCTGCATGTCCCCCGCTGGGGATGGAGCCTGCAACCCGGGCATGTGCCCTGACTGGGAATCGAACCGTGACCTCCTGGTTCATAGGTCGATGCTCAACCACTGAGCCACGCCGGCCGGGCTCGGAGCCTGTGGTAACAGGGAAGGAGAGGGAACCAGGACCAGCAGACCAGGCACAGCGGGAGGACAACGCCGACTCGGTGAAGATGCAGACATCGGACAAGGGGAAGAAAATGAAGACAAAAGCTGCCCACTCACAGGACTGAGCCCTGACTTCTTTTCCAATCGTTAGTGCAATTATCTGGTTACATGGCACATCCAGAAACCATAACATCTTTCCCCTCTTGCCACTTCCTGAGGTTCTAAGATGCCACCGGTTCCACAAAACAAACATTAAACACACACAGTAGGGTCCCAGCATGTGTAACATTAAACACACACGCAGTAGGGCCGGTGGTCCCAGCACGTGTAACATTAAACACACACAGTAAGGCCGGTGGTCCCAGCACGTGTAACATTAAACACACACACAGTAGGGCCGGTGGTCCCAGCATGTGTAACATTAAACACACACAGAGTAGGGCAGGTGGTCCCAGCATGTATAACATTAAACACACGCAGTAGGTCCGGTGGTCCCAGCATATGTAACATTACACACATGCAGTAGGGCCGGTGGTCCCAGCACGTGTAACATTAAACACACACGCAGTAGGGCCGGTGGTCCCAGCATGTGTAACATTAAACACACACAGTAGGGCAGGTGGTCCCAGCATGTATAACATTAAACACACGCAGTAGGGCCGGTGGTCCCAGCATGTGTAACATTACACACACACAGTAGGGCCGGTGGTCCCAGCCTGCGGGGGCTTTACTTTCCGCCAGGCCCAAGTCCCTGCCAGTTCCAGGCGGTCCACACGGCAGCCAGAGGGAACCCCGCAGGGCGTTAAAACCTCACTGGCACTTCGCCCTGAAAGACTAACATGTCTGAACAAGTCCGTTCAGGAAAAAGCCAGCAAAACGCATTTTTTTCCAAAATTGGATTCTGCAAAAGAAAACCTCACGTCTGGGATTGTCATTGAAAATGGGCTTCAAATCAGATTCCTAAGATCTATAACCTGCTTAGAAAGACAGGCCTCTGAAAACCTCGCACTTCCGACCCCCCAAATTCTCTGCTTCGTTCCGGTTCCTTGCGGGTCCACGGGGCAGTCAAGGTCGCCCATCTGTGCCCGGAAAACACGCGGGTTAGCCACGTGCCACGGGGCGCCAGGAGGCCACTGAAATCGTGTGCTACTTGCACATCTAAATTCACGTGCCTTTTCCTGTGAGATTCCAGGGCTGAGACTCTCAGGAGGTTGAGAACCGTGGCTCTGAGCGGGGGTTCCTCACTGTTGTTGTTTTTTAAAATATTTTTTTATTGATATCAGCGAGGGAGAGAGAGAGAGAGACAGAAACATCAACGATGAGAGAGAATCCTGGATCGGCTGCCTCCTGCACATCCCACACTGGGGATCGAGCCCGCAACCCGGGCGTGTGCCCTTGACGGGGAATCGAACCGTGACCTCCTGGTTCACAGGTCGATGCTCAACCACTGAGCCCCGCCAGCTGGGCTGAGTGTAGCTTCCTGAATCCATCTGTTCCTGGCACCGCCAGCTGCCCCTGGAACCCTGCCTGCAGTTCCACGGGTTAGCGAGGGCAGTGGGCATGGTGCAGGGCTCAGAGAACAAGTACAGGAGGGGTGGAAGCGAGCCGGGGGAGAGCATGTGAGAGGGATGCGTAAAGCCGTCCACGTAACAGACGGGGCGGCTCGGGGCCAGGGCGCACGCCTGCCACGGAGGAAGGACGCTCTCATGGTCAGAGATACGTGGAAGCAAAATGAAGGTGGAAGTGTTTCTTGTTGTTAATTTTCCCATTGATTTTTAGAGAGAGTGGAAGGGAAAGGGAGAGACAGAGAGAGAGAGAGAAATATAGATGTGAGAGAGACACATTCATTGGTTGCCTCCTGCACGCGCCCCGACCAGGGCCCGGGCCGGAGAGGATCCCGCAACCGAGGTACGTGCCCTTGACCGGAATCGAACCCGGGACCCTTCGGTCTGCAGGCCGATGCTCCATCTACTAAGCCAAACCGGCCAGAGCAAAGGTTATGTTTTATTTGCCCGACCAGGGAGTGGAATTGTTTGTTTTGTGGGCAGTTACCCAAAATAGTAAGGAAAGACAGACGGCAGCAGGGAACGCGGAAGAGCCAGGCTGACTTCACCAAAGAAGCCACAGGCCCAGTCCACGGCTGAGCAGGAGGCTGAGGACGGGAGGCCCCGTGCTTCCTTTATCCCACCCAGGTGGCCAGGAACCCCAGTGACTCACGGCAGCGGATCCACCCCCAAGGCAGCAGGGAGAACGCACCTGTCACTCGTGTGGACACACGCCCTTCCCCACGGAGCAAACGCGGGGAGGACAGCTGGGTGGCGGAGTCTGGCGAATCCCTCCCTCTCTGAAAATAGCGCTCTCCTGCATCACACACTTTCCCGCTCCAGGCTCAGCTCCGTCCCGGAGCCCGGGATGCAGGGCTCGGTTGGTTATTCATCTCGTCCGCTCCTCCTCCCCAGCTGGGCCCCACGCCCGCACCTGTGCCAGGGGCCGTGCAGCCAGGAGATGGCCGCCCACACGGGGCCACCATCTGTCAGCACCTCGCAGAGCTCCGCAGGGCCCCGGGCCCATCTGCCGTCGGGAGAGGCCTTCTCACTTCTGCAGAATTCCCGGAGCCGGTCATTTCTTTTTCCTTTTCTTTTAAAAATATTTTTTTGTTGATTTCAGAGAGGAAGGGAGAAGGAGAGAGAGGGAGAGAAACATCCATGATGAGAGAGAACCATGGATCGGCTGCCTCCTGCAGGCCCCACACTGGGGATCGAGCCTGCAACCCGGGCACGTGCCCTGACCAGGAATTGATCCGTGACCTCCTGGTTCATAGGGTGACCCTCAACCACCAAGCCCTGCCAGCCAGGCTCATTTCTCTTCTTTTCTTTCCTTCTTTCCTTCCTTCCTTCCTCTTCCTCCTCCGCCCCCCCCCTCCTCCTCTTCTTCTTTTTCTTTTGGTAATTGATGAGAGAGAGAGAGAGCAGGTTGAGTGGGCTAGCAACATTTCCCAAGTATATTATGTTACTATGGTTTATTTCAATACACTGACTACATGAAAATGCCCTGGGGAAGAGCCCTATAAAGAAATCCTCTAATGGAGTTTTGTCTTAAAATGCTGCTTTCTCTATTTTTTTAAAAAAAAATTTTTATTTATCCCCTGCACGCCCCCTACAGGGAATGAGCCCACAACCCGGGCATGCGCCCTGACCGGGAATCGAACCGTGACCTCCTGGTTCAAAGGTTAGTGCTCAACCACTGAGCCACGCCGGCCGGGCTTAAAATGCTGTTTTTTTAAAAACATACTTTTACTGTTTCATGCCTGTCAGAAGGATGCCAATGACAAGTCCTTCCAGAACAGGGTCGATTTCTAAGGGTCACGCACAACCACCTTGGTAACTCCCCCCCCACCCCCCGCTTCCCATAGACCTCACTGCCATGTTCATGGGAGTCACGCATTCGTCATCAATACAGTTTTCATGGAAATGACCGGCACAATCCTACCCAAGGGGCCAGTAACTCGCCTGCCCCTGGTGAGGGCCAAGGAGGAAGCGCTGATAACGAGCTACAGGTGGACGAGGTCTGGAAACATTTCTGAGAACAGAGCGCACCGCCTCCTCGCTCATCCCTTTCAAGGCCAGGGCTGGGTTGGAGGTGAGAGGCTCCCGAAAAGGAAGTTCCGAGAGCTGCCCTGCGACGGAAGCCGACGAGGAAGACAGGCCAGGGCCACAGAGGGCAGAGGTGGGGGTCAGGGTCAGACTCTGGCTCCTGAGAAGGGACATGGAGCCAGGAACATCGGCGCATGGCCGCAGCCTCCAGGGTGGACGTGTGGCCGGCAGCGGCGCCCAGTTCTGTGCAGGACTAAGAAGTGGTGCCCAGCCCGGCCGGCCGGCGTGGCTCAGCATCGATCTATGATCCAGGAGGTCACGGTTCGATTCCAGGTCAAGGGCACAGGCCCGGGTTGCGGGCTCGATCCCCAGTGGGGGCCTGCAGGAGGAAGCCGATCTGTGATTCTCTCTCATCATGGATGTTTCTCTCTCTCTCTCCCTCTCCCTTCCTCTCTCAAACCAATCTTAAAAACAGATCAGAGAAAAGCAATCCTGGGTGCCCTTCCGCAAAAAAGAAAATTCGAGAGGAAACAGAAGCCAGCCAGCTCCCCTTAACCCAAGCCCAAGGCACGAAGACATTTTCTCCAGCCGTTACACCGGGTTTGTTTCTAACACCTGCCTTGCATTTCAAGACAAAAGCTTCAAGCCACAGTGCAGCCACTCAGGTGCGGAGCTGCCGTTCAGATTTCGGGGCGTCAACGCCCGTTCAGCAGTGCAAACAGGATGTGGGGAAGGGCCCTGCTACTGAGAACTTCTCAAAACCAGTTCAAGCCCTGGCCGGTTTGGCTCAGTGGATAGAGCGTCGGCCCGCGGACCGAAGGGTCCCAGGTTCGATTCCGGTCAAGGGCATGGACCTTGGTTGCGGACACATCCCCAGTGGGGGGTGTGCAGGAGGCAGCTGATGGATGTTTCCCTCTCATCGATGTTTCTAGCTCTCTATCCCTCTCCCTGACACACGAACGCATGACAGGGACCATCTGGAACGACACCCTTCAGAGGCCGAATCCCTGAGAATTGGGGGTGAGGGACCCAGCTCCCAGAGCCCCCCCTCTCTGTCCTGAAAGCTGGGGCCCGGCCAACCCGCTCGGTGAGAGGAGGTGGAGGAACACAGGGCTGGGGTTTGGGCCATCTCCCATCTACGTTCCTGCCACAGACATACACACACATTCC